GGGTGTGACAACACTATTTGGGGAGATACACCCTGGGCATCCTAGAGCTCCTTCCCCTTGACCTTCATCTTTCCATTCTTGTAGTTACCCTTAAGTTTCAAACAAGTTCCTAAGAGCCATTGGAATATTCACTGCTCTGAGGGCCGGAGATCTTACTGCCCTTGGAGCATCTTTAAAGAATACCTCTGAAGGTGTCCCCAGAATTAGAATATTTTAGAGCTGGATGAAACTTCAGGTGCCATTTGGACAAGCCTATATTTTATGGAGGAGGAAGATTCATTCTGGAACTATTGAGATCTGGGGGCAGGGCTCTTGGTTAATGTCAGAGACCACGCTAGCTCCAGGCAGCGCACGTTCTTTCCACTACCCCACACTGTTGTTCACAGTGTGGTTGTGGCGTGGCATGCCGTGGCACCTTAAATCAAAATTCCAAAGGGATTCTCAATTAGTTAGTTGAGTAAAATGAATTTAACTCCACCTATTATAACATTAAAAAGAGCTTAAGCCACTTAATAAATGGTAGCTAGAGTCACCTCTTAATGGATAATCATGTTTTCTCATTTGCAGTTTAAGTGCTAGAAGACAGTCACTTTAAAACTGCTCAAGAGAGGACCCAATTATCTGATAAGCAATTCCAAAGACCATATACACAAACGCAGAAACATACCTCTTTATGAATGGTGTCTGACAAGGAAAGAGATATTTGTGGCACAGGAGTTCTGGAAAATGTAATTATTTATCCTTTCACAATTAATGAAAGAAATGGAAAATGAAGCTTTCATTTCAAATCCTTTTTATCTGGATGAAACTTTAATTTTACATAATTAAATTGACTTCACAGTTCAGTGTGTTAAAATATGCAATTAAACAGCATATCAAGGTGAAATGCCTCCTGTTGTTGGCTCATTGAGAAATCATGCTGCTGAGCTCCCAAGAAGAATGAACACCTGCCTGCCTGCCTGCTCTTATCCCCAGAGCCAGGGACAGCACACAGCCTGCAGGGCTGGCTTCCCAAATGCACAGTCGAATTTTCTCACACGTGCCAACTCCTGTGTAAGTTAGTTGGATATTTAAATAGTTTTCACTTCTCTTTGTTTTTCAGTGGGGTTTTTGTTGCCTTTTTTTTTTTTTGCATGAGAAAATATTGCAGGACTTTGAGGATGCAACATAGATGATAAACTTTATCTCTCGCAGAAGTTCCTTCTGAGACAACCCTTGCATCTTCAAAGTTGCTGCCTGGAAAATGCTTAAGAAATGTTGCAGGCAGTGTTGAAGGGAGACGCTCTAATGGGATTGGGGAGAGTTCTCTGGAAATTTATCTTAACAGGCCATGGTCTGTCCAGGTAGAGAGCTCACCTGTGTACCTTTCCTTGTGTTCCCTTTGAATCGTACCTTTGTCATGGTTAATTTATGGCTCAGTAGCATCCTATATTCCCTTAAGAACTCTGTAAATGGAGTACAGCTCAACAATTGGAATGGCGTTCCCTTCCCTGTTTCAATATAGTCTAGGATTTATGTAACAGTGATTCTTGTTTTATCCATTGGGGAGGGAGTTAGGCAGGACTCATAGATCTAAGCAGTATCCTTACTGTAGTGACACATGGCAAACCTGAGCCCATTTGGTGGCTTTTCCAGATACACAGAGAAGCGTGTTGCTAGATTAATTATAAAAGCTACAAAAAGAAGATACGATCCTATCATGAGATCCCTCAGGACAAACCTCTTTGAATTGGGGGCATACGCTCCACTTGTAGGTTTATTCTCTCTATAATGCTCCTGCTATTTATTATAGGATGATTGGCAGACCATAAAACTAGAAGAAGATTGTTAAAGGTATTATAGTGTGTGTAGTAACATAATGTACATCAGACATATGAATGTTTTACTCTTTTGAGCCAAGACTGGAGATATTGGTATTGTCTGTTTCTAGGGTGCCACTAGGCTCATGGGATTAGTAAATTCTGCTAAAATTCTGTGGGCTAGATTGGTCTCTTTCTCATTGCATTGCTCTGACATCCAAAGGAGGCCTTGGCTATCAAGGGACAGAAAAAGAATAGTGAAAAAATAGTTTTAATAAGTGAAAATTGATATCGATGCATCCATACAAATTGTAAAAGTACCTATTTAAATATAATCAATTTCATATTTACAAGTTATCGCCACTTATCAGATGTCTCCTTCCTTAGGATTTATAGAAAGTAACAGTGATGGTAGTTTTGGTTATTGCACGCACTTGAAAGCAATTGAACTACTGTTTAAACTGTTCATACACAAACCTACAAAGTCACCGACTGGTCCTCTCCCAAACAATCCAACTTTGGAAGTTTCAACACTGAACCAAGTGTTTAAATAATACCAAACAATAAACGCTATTTTGTAGAGCTACTACAAGTCTTGTACCATTTCTCAGAAACATGTAGGTTTGATTACATTTTCTGGTCTGATTTTATACAGACCCTATCAGAGGAGGATCTGAAAGGTTTACACAATAGAGCTGCTGATACAGTCTCAGAATTCAGAGAAAAGAATTTCGATTGTGAAATAAGAATGTGGTAAGACGGAAATGTCCCTCAGCATGGGCTGATGCTCTCTGTTATTTCACTGGATCCGATTTGATAACAGATGAACTGCTACTGATTTGGGTCCTTCAGAACCAAATGGAAGAAACTGTGGACTCACGCAAGTGTGATACAAACAAACTAAGACTATGAACACAGAAAAATCATGCACAGATAGTTCCCAGACCTTACACTGGCCTCTTCTTAAAAAAATTTTATTTGAGAGAGAGAGACAGAAAGAGTGGGGGAGGAGCAGAGCGAGAGGGACAAACAACCTCCTTGCTGAGCGTGGAGTCTGATGTGGGGCTGGATCTCACGACACTAAGATGGTGACCTTAGCCCAAATCAAGAGTTGGACACTTAACAGACTGAGCCACCCAGGTGCCTCTATACTGGCTTCTTTTCACTTTCTTTCCTATCAACACTTTTACCAAGGTGTTGGAGTGGAAAAGGCTTTTTAAAATGAAAACCTCAACTGAAGAGATCAGATATCAACATGTAACTAAATCCAGTGGAAGAAAAGACCCACTTTGAAAACTGTTGAGGGTTATCCTCTAATCCTAGCCGGTTCTTTCTGAAGCATGAATTCAGAATTGTTGTCACTCATATACGTGGATAGAAGTTAGAATTCTCAATTGCCAGGTAAAAAAATCTTCCTGCTTTTGTTATTTTTAAAAAAATTTTCTGAACTTCCTTATTTGGGGTCAAAGGATGTCTGGAAAGTTAAACATTCTTAGTATAACTTTAAATTGTACAGTGAATAAATAGCACTCCAGTCCATTATTAGGTGGTGGTAGAAATCAACCATCTGCAGAACCAAGTGGTGTGTTCTTGAATTCATTCTTTAGGGAAAAGTAATTTATTCTAATACTGAGCTATTCTTATTAACTTTGAAGTGAAGCTAACTGGACAGAGACCCGTATACATCCACCAGATTACAAAGACTGGACTAGGGCTCCAAATGAATGAGCGCAGGTGAAGGCACTTTAAATGTGTAACAGGCTTTATAAAGCATAATGATTATCTTCGTATTTTTTTTTAATCTAGAAAGTACAATTCTGAGAAGGAAGTAATTATGTTTTTAGTAATGTGAAAGATTTTTGTGTTTAGAATTTTTTTAATTTTTTAAATTTATTTTAGAGGGAGGGACGGAAGGGGGGAGAGAGAGAGAGAGAGAGAGAGAGAGAGAGAGAGAGAGAGAGAGAGAATATGAGGGTAGGAACAGAGTGGGGAGGGAGAGGGACAAGCAGACTCCATGCTGAGCGAGGAGCCTGACACGGGGCTTGATCCCATGACCCTGAGACCATGACCTGAGCCAAAACCAAGAGTCAGATGTTCACTGACTGAGTCACCTAGCTGCCCCATGTTTAGAATATTTTTGATGGAACCAAGTAAACTAGTATGTATTGTCTATGAATCAGGGCAATAAAGAGCTCAAAGATGACTGTGCTTTCTCAGACCTCTTGATTTTCTCTCTTTATAGTTCATAGCTTACAAGCATCAACAGCGATGGTCTAAATATAAAGCTTGCTACACTATCATTACATGTGACATTCCTGTAGACACTAATACATACTCCTATTTGGGGCCTGTTGAAGCAGTGAAGAGTTTTTGAAGTTAGCAACCACTTGAAGTAGTAAACTAAATTTCATAATTCAAGGATGGATTTAGTTTGCAATTAGAAATAAAAACTAGAAGCATCAGTCACTCAATTGAAGGTGCTGATATAAGTCCAAAGTATTAAAGTTAAAAATAACAAAGACAAAACAGTGAAATAAATCTAAGTGTGCAACAGACAGAGACAGTAAAATTCTATCCCCAAACACTTGGTTTAAAAGTCTGGAAAGAGAATGGAGAGTCATCTTGAATAAGGACTTGCTACTTCTTATTGGTACACTGTAATATTTACATATCATTCACTAGTCAATGTCCTGTTTTTTATTCTAGTTTGTGTCTCAGAAGGCATTTTCTTTTTGAAAAGAGGAGAACTTTTCACCATCCAGATAACACATTTAAAATTCAGTTAATTAGGTAACTGTTGAAACCCCTAACTGTAACTATTTAGGGCCAATATTGTGCCTTCTCTCTGAGAGGAGGAGTCTGATTTCAAATAAAATGATTGTGAACAGTTTAATAAAGACGTTTGTAGATGGTTTTATGAGATCCCCCAGGCATTTATTTTAATCTGGAAAACAGCAGAAATACATAGAGAGGATGTACTATTTAACCAACTAGACCAAAAAAAAAAAAAAAAGCAAGCTGCATCATAACCATTAACTTAGGGAGGGAAAAAGAAACTGGAAAAATGCATTTAAATAATAATGGACTCCGAGAACCTTAGAAAGGTAAAGTGTGAAAATCCTGTATTTCAACTGTGTAAATTTCTTGAGTTGAGTCTAGGGGAAAGTCTATGAACTAGACAGCATTGAAAGACGCAGCAAACTAGACCCACAAGGGAAGCCCTGGACTTGACGTGCTTGAGGCATAGGGATAAGAGTTCCCCAAAGCAATCTTACCTTTGTTTTCTGCCTTCAGTTCTTCTGCCATCAAGCTGTCTTGTCGGTTACCAAGCACAAATGCCAGAAATGAGAGGATCAGGGCATCCAAAATCCCAATAATAGCCAGGATGTATGCCCAGCGAACTGAACAAGCCCCAAGAGTGTACTTGTCTGTCTTTTCTCCACACATCCGTTTTACTTCATCTGAATCCCAGCCATCAGGGAAAATCATACAGCCAAGCACAAGGCAGGCAGCTGAGAAAGAGAGAGAGAGGAAAAAAAAAGAAAAACAAAGTAGTTAACATAAATGTTATTTTAATAAATACAGCTACTGTGTGTCAAATCATTGCTTCAAATTCTTCATTTTTTTAAAAAAGATTTTATTTATTTGAGAGTGAGCATAAGAGAGAGAGAGCAAGAGCAGGGGGGAAGGGCAGAGGGAGAAGCAGACTCCCCAGTGAGCAGGGTGCCCGACTCAACTCCATCCTAGGACCCTGAGATCATGACTTGAGCTGAAGGCAGATGCTTAACCCACTGAGCCACCCAGGCACCCCTCAAATTCTTGATTTAAAGAACAGCAAATCTTATCACTCTCCTACCCTGAATATTTGTGGGTGTTTTTTTCCCCCCTTGGTTTACTTAAAAGCAGCCTAGCCCTGCAGCTCTGGGAGCACTCTTTTTTTTTTTCCTAAAAATTTTTTATTAGGGTAATCACCATACATTACATCATTAGTTTTTGATGTAGTGTTCCGTGATTCATTGTTTGTGCATAACACCCAGTGCTCCATGCAGAACGTGCCCTCTTTAATACCCATCACCAGGCTAACCCATCCCCCCACCCCCCTCCCCTCTAGAACCCTGTTTGTTTTTCAGAGTCCATTGTCTCTCATGGTTCGTCTCCCC